TCCAAAGACTCCATTGACCAGCTGACATTTATCAAAATGAATCAGTCCTGGATCAACAGCAGCTATTAAGCCCTGATGCTGAAGTAACTGATTACATTTGTTAGGGATCTGGAATCACTTGAAGACTGCCTATGCTGCCTATCCTCTTCCTGATTATGCTAGCTTCCAACAATGTTTTTGCTTTAGGGCACCACCAACACCCAAGACCCAATTTTTCTGCACCTGTTTGACAGGTGCATGTAATTTCAGCTTTTTACAAATTTTTTCTAATTATTAAAACTTTCTTAAAGCAGGGCCCATTCCTGCGCCTAGAAAGAGTAAACTGTGAGGGGTTACAGTGTTCAGGCACCACCAACACCTAAGGCCCAATTTTTCTGCACCTGTGTGACAGGTGCATCTAATTTAATTTTTTTACAATTTTTTTTGTAATTTTTAACAGCAGGGCCCATTCCTGATCTCATCTTTAGGTCTGGTAGGAAGATTAGGAGGAACCCCACAGTCAAACTTTTTTTTTTAAAAGTGCGTGGTAATCCCCCTAAAAGCCATACCAGGCCCTTTATGCCTGGTTGGACTTCTAGGGGGAACCCCACCCCCAAAAAATGGGCATGCTCCCCCCTAAATTACCAGGCCATGTGCCCTTGGCATTGGGACGGTGTCCCCATGCCCATTGGATCAAAGCCTCTTCCCCACAACTTTGGCCCGGTGGTTGTGGGGGTCTACGGGCAGGGGGGGTCATTAGCATCAGGGTACCCCTTTAAATAAGGGTGCACCCTGATGTTGCCCCCCCATGTGAATGAGTAAGGAGTACTTGTACCGCTACCCATTCACTAAATGGTTACATTTAGAAAAAAAAAAAGCCCAAATAAAGCCAAAAAAGCAAAAAAAAATGGTTCCATCGATGTAGTCCATTGTTAATCACGTCGCCCAGCGTTGTCCCAATGACGCCAGCTCGCCAAAATTAAGAAAACCCACATGTACCCGCTGAGCACTCGCGATGCTGGCGGTGATGTTACCGCTCGCCATACCTTTTTGTTTACATCTGACTGGCAAATGTCACACTTGTCATATTGCGGCGAGTGCTTGGCGAGTGTCGGGTTGTTTTTTATTTTGGTGAGTCGGCATCATCATGACAACGCTGGACGCCGTGATTGATGATGTATTACAAAGATGGAAAATTTTTTGGCTTTTTTTTTTTTTTTTATTAAAGGACTTGTCAAAACTGAATTTTTCAAAAGACTGATGGGTAGAGGTACAAGTACCCCTTACTCATTCACAAGGGGGGCCAGCATCAGGGTGCCCTATTATTTAAAGGAGTACACTGATGGTAATGAGCTCCCCTGTCTGCAGACCCCCCACAACCACCAGGCCAGGGTTGTAGGATAGATGCTCTTGTCCCCATCGGCATAAGGACACCATCCCAATACTGAGGGCACGTGGCCTGGTAAGCCACAGGGAGGGAGGGGGGCGCTTGATTACCCTGCCAGGCCTGTGCTCGGATCAAGGGTCTGGTAGGAATTTAGGGAGGACCCCGTACTTTTTTCTCCCATTTCTTGGAGGTGGGGTTGCCCTTAAAGGTCCTATCAGGCCTAAAGGGCCTGGTATGGCTTTTTGGGAGAACCCTACGTACTTTTTAAAAAATGTCTTTTACTGTGGGGTACCTCCTAACCTTCCTTCCAGACCTAAAGGGTCTGGTATGGATTGGGGGAGGGGGCCACACCTTTTTTTTTTAAATTTATTTTTTTTTTAAATGTCAGTCCTGCTGCAGCAGGTTCTATACATTGTACAGATGTGCAACTTTGCAGGTAGTTTAAGGGGACCCCCCATGCATGATATTTAAAGGAACTTTTAATTTTTTTACTTTAAGCAATGAAAAATACCTGTCCCTTTTAATACAGTACTTTTTTTATAAAAAAATTTCACTGATTCATGTCCTCAGGACAGTCCCCAAGTCCCCATACCACTTTTACGGCCAATAACTTGAATATAAGCCTTCAAAACAGGCACTTTAGAATTTACAAGGTTAAGTCCTATAGACTTGCATTGAGTTTGAAGTTTTTGGTCGAACGTTCATTAGGTTCAAATGTTCGACCATGAACTGAATATGGGGGAGTTTGGCCATCACTACAAAGAGCTGCTATCTATCACTTTCATAGCTTAAAGCAATACTAAAGGTTCACTTTTTGGAAAATAGCAAACATGTTATACTTACCTGCTGTGTGCAGTGGTTTTGCACAGAGCAGTTTGGATTCCTTTCCGAGATCTCTGTGGTCCAGTGTGCATCCTCCTCTATCTGGGGGGCCCCCAAGGAAAAGGAAAAAGACCACCTCCCTCCCTTAGCCAGCACTTCTGGCTCCTCCTTTCAGCTGGGTGCCTCCATAGCAAGCAGCGTGTCCATTTGCACATGGAGCCATGGCTTGGCCCCACCCCCTCTCTTTCCTCAGTTGCTAACTGGCTGTAATTGACAGCAGCTGGAGCCAATGGATCCTGCTTGCTGTCTTAGCCAATGAGGAGGCAGAGATCTGGGACAGCCAAGGCTGTCGTGCACATTGCTGGATTGCGATAGTGCTCAGGTAAGTATTGAGGTGGCTGGGGGCACTACTGCACCCAGAAGGTTTTTTTACCTTCATCCATAGAATGCATGAAGGTGAAAAATCTTGAGCCTTTACAACCACTTTAACTAATAATTAAATGTATAAGGAAGTGAAGTTACAGGGATTTGCCTTCTGAAAACAATGGGGTATTTTAGAGATTGAGCAACTGTATTACAATAATTCTCTAAAATCATATTAACAGCTACAGGGAGAGTTCTCTATACCTAAATAAGTTTTTTCTATCAGTGTATACAACTGTATCACGCTATAAGCTCCCAGTAGGAGATAACACCCTTGAGACATTAAAGAGATAATAAAGGTTCAGCTTTTAAAACAAAAAAATAACAAAACATGTCATACTTACCTGCTCTGTGCAATGGTTTTTTACAGAGCTGCCCCAACTCTCCTCTTCTTAGGTCCCCCCTGCTGAGTGCCCCCAGAGTAAGTTGCTTACTCCCAAGCTGCCTCTGTCTGTCTATAAAACACATAGAGTGTGACTCAGCCCCCCCCCCCCCTCCAGGCCATTGGCTCCCGCTGCTGTGTCTCAGCATATGAGGGGGGAGAGACCTGGGAGAGACGATGCTCTTGTGCACATCGCTGGACCAGGATCAGGTGAGTATTAGGCGGGGAGGGTGTGCAGAGCTGCACACTGATGGATTTTACCTTCATTTATAGAATGCATGAAGATAAAATTCCTTCAGCCTTTACAAACAAGATACCAGTAATACAGGACATGGTGATGTTTGAACATTCAATGGGTATTTTTTCCTATGTATACAGCCTACTAATCTATAAAAATCAAATGAAATATACTCTGAAATGTAGAGAACAATGGTCTTGGCACATACTGTAGATAATGTTGAAGACGATGAATGGTCACCCATAATAATGGTGATTCTCTCTGTTTTGATATCAGCCTCTCAAAGAGTAACTTAGTTATATATTGTCCATAGGATGTATAGAACCCCCATTCACTTTAAGGGCAGGTCTTTGGGCAAGTTCTAATTGCACTAGTTTTGGACAGGTTCTGGGGGAATTCATACATCTTATTTGAAGACGTTCTAAGTTGGTAAGATATTCGAAAGATGTGGTCCCACATATTAATGCTATCTTTTAAAACAAATGTTTTAAAAAGTGTAATCCATACACTTGTAATTGGGGCATCTAGAGGCTCAGGAATATCAAGTTAATTTGGGATGGTTTCTTGCTAGGAAATTGATTGCACAAAAGTGGATTTCGCAACATATACTGACAGCAGAGAGATAATTATCGGCATTCAATTTAAATTTGAAATTGGAACAGTTGAATTTTCAGCATAGGGAAGCGCTAAACAAATTTCAGATCTACACAAAATGGCTTCAGGTGCCTGGATTGTTATTGGATTAATGAGAATATGAAAGATGCTACATGCTTGGGATTTTTGTTTTTGGACTAAAGGGATGAAAATAGCTTAAAATGTTTTAAATATGTAAGGTTAGGTTTAATTTGTTTGGTTTTCTTTTTATATTATTTACTGGCTGTGGTTAGTTACAGATGTATTGTGATGTTTTTCTATGGAAAATGTGTTTGCTGGAAAAAATATTTTCAATAAATAAAATACACATTTAAAATATCATCCTTCAGATCACCTATGGAATCCTTTGAGTGTTATTCTTCATTTGAACAAATATACTAATCATATACAGCAGCACCCTGATATGATTCATTTAAAAACAAAAATATATGTTTAAGCATTAATTGCTTTGACACCTTATGTTTTATCTAAGAATGAGAGGCTAGAACTGAGCAGTGAAAGTAACAGCTTTAAAGGCTTAAAGCATATCAGAAAGTGTACACTTCCAAAAAAAAAAGCCAACAAACAACTGTTGTGCTTACATGCCCAACATTTTAACATTCATATGTGACCCTAGTCTTAACAGGACCCCCATAATCCATTTACAATCTAGAAATCAACATTATGGTTTACCGTATTTTTCGCTCCATAAGACGCACTTTTTTCCCCCAAAAAAAGGAGGGAAAATGTCAGTGCGTCTTATGGAGCGAATATAAAGCGGCCGGTCCGGTATTTCTGCCGCCACCATGTCAGAATACCGGGCCGGCTGCTCAGCTGTTCTCTCCTGCAGGGCCTTACCTGTTCCTCGCTCCAGCACTGCACAGTCTTCCCGCGCTGGCTTCTGTGACAGCCGGGTGCCCACTGCGCATGTGCTGCGCTTTGTGAATGATCCGGTGTCTTCTGGGACACATGACAGGTCCCAGAAGGCGCCGGGCCATTCACAAAGCGCAGCGCTTCTCGCGTATGCGCAGTGGGCACCCGGCTGTCACAGAAGCCGGCCCGGGAAGAAGGAAGGAAGGACACCTCCGCGGAAGTGGGAGCGGGTACCTGTCAAATTCAGGTACCCGCTCCCCCTCCCTCCCCAAAGGTCAGGAGTCTCTGGTCATTCCCTGCACTGTCTGCAGTCTCTGGTCATCCCCTGCACTGTCTGCAGTCTCTGGTCATCCCCTGCACTGTGTCCGCAGTCTCTGGTCATCCCCTGCACTGTGTCCGCGCAGTCTCTGGTCATTCCCTGCACTGTCTGCAGTCTCTGGTCATTCCCCTGCACTGTGTCCGCAGTCTGTCATCTCCTGTACTGCAGTCTCTGGTCATCTCCTGTCTGCACTCTGGTCATTCCCTGCAGTGTCTGCAGTCTCTGGTCATCTCCTGTACTGTGTCCGCAGTCTCTGGTCATCTCCTGTACTGTGTCTGCAGTCTCTGGTCATTCCTGCACTGTCTGCAGTCTCTGGTCATCCCCTGTACTGTGTCTGCAGTCTCTGGTCATTCCCTGCACTGTCTGCAGTCTCTGGTCATCCCCTGCACTGTCTGCAGTCTCTGGTCATTCCCTGCACTGTCTGCAGTCTCTGGTCATCCCCTGTACTGTGTCTGCAGTCCATTGGTTCAGAATATTTTTTTTTTTCTTGTTTTTCCCCTCTAAAAACCTAGGTGCGTCTTATGGTCAGGTGCGTCTTATGGAGCGAAAAATACGGTAGTTTATTTAAATAACAAAAGCTTCAAATATACATACGATTAGCATTCGCGGACTCGAATTTCATGACTTACAAGAGAGCCAGTTAACATGTTATGGACCATTGGCATTGCCCTTGTTTCAGATAATTCCATCACAGAAGCAGATAGGATTTAAATTAATCACATTGAGCACTGAGCACCTATATTAACTCCCAGTGGGGGAATTTTAAGGATCAGCGCAACACCCTTCTCTTTATATTGACTCTACACATTTTAATTAGAGTGTGGTAGATGTTAGCAGCAGCCCAATACCATTGCGCAGAACCCATTCACACATTTCTTCCAAAATATTGTTCCTCCTTGTACTAGGTCCCATTTAGAATTGGACCCTCCTCCATTTTATTCATCTGAAGTATTAGGGGCCCTATGCTTTAAAGGGGTCTGCACAATTTTTGTTATGCAAGTAGAATACCTTATGCATAAACCGTTTAAGATTTAGGAACATACTACAGTATGGTGTGGTCTGTGTTTTAATGCCGGTCCTGAGCTGAGAATTGTAAGAGGTGAATTTGAGCCACATTTGGAGGAGTAGAAAAGAGGAATTGGAGTCTGTGTCAAATTTTGGGTTTACCTAAAGTGGTAGTAAACTCGTTGTTGTGATTTTTGCCTACAGGTACGTTAAAAATAAAGCTTACCTGTAGGTAAAATTAATACCTCCTAAATGTGTACCGTTTAGAAGGTATTCCATCAAGCAGTATTCCGGTACATGCGCTCTGAAGGAAAGCTATAATCGTGCCTTATCTTCAGAGCTTTGTGTCGTGCCGCCAGCTCCCGCACACATGCGCAGGAGTGATGTTATCGTGGCTTGGCCAGTCAGACAGCCAGAACCTATGAACCCGGAAGGAAGACTGAGTGAAAATGGAAGCCCTGTCAGTGGTGACACACTGCTGAAGGCTTAGTTTTTAAGATTCCGTTTTTATAATGTGCTAGTATGCAATGCATACTAGCACATTATGATATTGCCTTGCAGGGGGAAAACCTTTTTTTTTTTAAACTTAGTTTGGATGTCCTGGTGTACCATACAATAATGACTCTCCCCTGGAAAATAACTCCCCAGTCATTACGAATATAAAGTTTACTTTTAATTCTAACTTTACAGCGGTAAATGGAAGAAAAAGCTGTTTCAACCCGCTGTAGTGGAGAAGGGAATAGTTTTTTGCTGATGTCCTGGTGTACCATACAATAATGACTCTCCTGGAAAATAACTTCCCCAGTCATTATTATATATATATTATAATAACTCTTCTTTTCATTCCAGTTATTTTTATTCTTCTTCTTCTTCTTTTCATTCTTCTTTTCATATGAAATAATAATTCTTCTTCTTCTTCTTTTCATTCTTCTTTTCATTCTTCTCTCCAGTCATTCTTTTCATTTATATATGTAATAATAATTCTTCTTCTTCTTCTTTTCATTCTTCTTCTTCTTTTCATTCTCTCTCTATGTAATAATAACTCCCAACCAGAAAAAGGCCTACGTTATCTTCTTCTTCTTCTTCTTTTCAAATAAATTCAATTTTTTCAATTAAATGGTTATTAGTAAGCAAATGAAACTAACAATGGTTTTTTAAAGTTTTTACATTGTAGATTTTTATTAAAGTAAACAAAAATTACACGTAGAATTGAGAAATATCAACATACATGTAATGTACATAGTTATGTACATTTAAAATGTTAGTAATGTTCACAAATCTAAATCTATCTTCATCAGTTTGCGTTTTCTTCCTCATTCTTCTTTTCATTCTTCTTCTTCTTCCTTTTCATTCTTCTTCTTCTTCTTCTTTTCATTCTTCTTTCTTTTCATTCCTTCTCTCTTCTTCTTCTGCTTGTGTGCCCCGTGACATTTTTTTCTCAGATATAGGAAATGGATGCATGTCTCCTTGTTCCAAGCATAACACAAGGTGCTGACATATATATTAACAGATAAGGCATATCAATTTAAGCTCTTACTTTCAACTTTTATGTCATTTAGCGTCTTCAAAACTAGGGGAGTTATTAATACATATATAAAAATACTGGGGAGCAGGGGCAGACTGACAACTCATGGGGCCCCCGGGCAATAGGGGATCATGGGGCCCCTGTGTTCTTGCCCAAACTCAAAAAAGCCTATGAAAAAGGTACCAGGGGCATCTCATGGGGCCCCTACTGACCCCGGGCCCTGCACTGCCCGAGTTTCCAAATGGTCAGTCCGCCCCTGCTGGGGAGTTATTATTTCATATAAAAAAATGACTGGGGAGTTATTATTTTATATAAAAATTACTGGGGAGTTATTATTATTTGGGAGTTAATATAACATACTACACGGATCTTACTGGTGGAAAGTGTTGCAAGAGTAATTTATTTTTTACGTGTCATGAAGATCTGGTGAGCCTTTCAATTTTCTACAATGTTGAGATTCTAGAACATCATTAATAGCAAAGAAATCCTTACAACACTGTGTGCAATATAAAGTGCTATCAATCAATATATATATATATAAAAAAGGGGAAACATGGAAAATTGAAAACAATTAAAAGAATAGTCCACTAAATCATATGTTTGTGCCACCACGTGGCCAACGTAAAGTGTCTGTGCAATAAATTATTTTTAAAAAAAGTGCTTTCATGCAATCTTCAAAAACACATCCATGTGCTCTTGTGCTGTTTTTCCAGGTGATCATCCACCACCAACACAGAGAACTCACCAGATAAATATGACCACCCACTACAGTTAAGTCATAATATGCTTGTTATGCTTGACTTATATGGCACCATCCAAAACATCCTAAGACTGTTCCACTTGTCTTCCAGCCACATTTATCATGTCACATAAAAGAGGAAGCAGAGGGAGACCGCCATAGTGTAAAACCTTAAAAGGCTTGTTATTAAATATAAACAATGTAGTCTACTCACAAACCAAGTGCTAACCCAGCACTAGGATGCATGCACAATTAGTATAATTACCCCGGATGTCCACTCCATAACTGTGTGGGGTTACTCCATTCCAGATGTACCACATCACTTCGGGGTGTAACGTACTGGATGACTTCACTTCTTGGCCTGCCTCGACGCAGTGTTTTAACGTCTGGATGTTCTCAGGAGGCTAGAAGATCATTGTTTATTGCTGTGTGAGTATGTGAGTAATGCCTTGTACACAAGGTGAGAATATTGGATGAATGATCGTCTGGTATTTTTTTTTGGCATGCTAGTCTAATATCGAAAATGCAGAGGTTACTAAAGTTATGAAAATTCTTGTAAGACAGAGAACAGCTTCAGAGGTGATGTAATGTATTGTATTGTATTGTAATTTATTATTTTGTTTCCAAGCATGCTCAGTCTTATTCACTCGATTTTTTATGAACAAACACTGTACTGATTAACCACTTGCCCTCCTGAGGATTTACCCCCCTTCCTGACCAGGCCTCTTTTTGCTACTCGGCGCTGCACTAATTCAACTGATAATTGCGCGGTCATGCAATGCTGCACCCAAACGAAATTTACGTCCTTTTTTTCACACAAATAGAGCTTTCTTTCGGTGGTATTTGATCACCTGTGCGCTTTTTATTTTCACGCTATAAACAAAAAAAGAGTTATACATTTAGGCCAAAATGTATTCTGCTACATGTTTTTGGTAAAAAAAAATCCCAATAAGTGTATATTGATTGCTTTGTGTGAAAGTTTATAGCGTCTACAAACTATGGTATAGATCAGGGGTGGGCAAACGTTTTGAAATGGGTTCAAATTGGACCCGGGGGCCGGACCAAGAGTAGATGAATGATGTGTATGTGTCACTTTAATATTCCCCCAGTAAGCATAGTAATTAATCCCCCATATAAAAATAGTAATATATTCATCCCCCATAGTAATTCATCCCCCATCACATAGTAATTCATCCCCCCATAAGTAATTCATCCCCCATAGTTTCATACATCCCCCATATAGTAATTCATCCCCCATAGTAATTCATCCCCCCTATAGTAATTCATCCCCCCTATACATCCCCCATATAGTAATTCATTAGGTAAAAGTAAAATAGTAATCCCAATAGTAATTCATCCCCCCTATAGTATTCATCCCCCATGTAATTGCATTATAGTAATTCAAAGTTATAGCCCCCATATAGTCTTCACCCCCATATAGTAATTCATCCCCCATAGTAACATCCCCCATGGTAATTCATCCTCCATAGTAATTCATCCCCCAGATTCATCCCCCATGAGTATTTATCCCCCATTAATTCATCCCCCATATAGTAATTCATTATCCCCCATATTAAGTCCCCAAGTCCCCCCCGTGTCAGCGCTGCGCTAGTTTAACGGACAATTGCGCGTGGAGCCTAGCGGGAGCCTCATGCCCAATACGGTCCATAAATGAAATTTACATTTTTTTTTCCCATGAATTGAGCTTTCTTTTGGTGGTATTTGATTCGCCCGTGCGTTTTTTATTTTTTTGCGCTATAAAAAAAAGTCTGACAATTTTGAGAAAAAAAAAGAATATTTTGGACTTTTTGCTATAAAACATGTCCAGTAAAAAAAATTTAAAAATCAAATTTAGTCATAAACATTTTTGCAAAAATGTATTCTGCGACATGTCTTTTTGCTTAAAAAAAATCCCAATACATGTAAATTCATTGGTTTACGTGAAAATTATAGTGTCTACAAATGGCGGGAAAGATACTGGGATTTTTTTTTTTAATTATACTAATAATGGCGGCGATCAGCGACTTATGGCGGTGATCAGCGATTTATGACAGTGATCAGCGACTTATGGCGGGACTGCGGGACTGAGGCGGACATTTTGACATGGGGGGGGGGAACTGACTTGGGGTCACTGACATCCCCAGTGACACCAATACAGTGATCAGTGCAAAAAAAAAAAAACACTGACACTGTACT